TATATATATATATATATATATATATATATATATATATATATATATATGTGTGTGTGTGTATATATATATATATATATATGCGCGCACACACAAATTAATATACAATAAATTATTTGATAAAATCAGAAAAAGCTATTATATTGAAGTGTATATACACACACACACACAAAAACGAATATATAATAAATAATTTGATAAAATCAGAAAAAGCTATTATTATATTGAAGTGTGTGTATATGTGTGTGTGTCTCATAGTTGAGGTATACCTATGATGAAAATTACAGGCCTCTCTCATCTTTTTAAGTGGGAGAACTTGCACAATTGGTGGCTGACTAAATACTTTTTTTCCCCACTGTATATGTATGTGTATGTATGTATTTAAGTATAAGTAAATAATAATTCAACTTTAGATATTATGTAGATTTCATTGCTGATGCATGGAAATGGATCTATAAGCTGATTATTTTTTACATTTCATTTGTCGTCATTAAATTGTAGTATTGGTCAACCAGTAATTTTGATGTCTTTTTAACAGTGATTTACTGTTTGTAGGTAGTAACACTGATCTTGATTCAGCACCCTCAACTGGTCAGCCATGAGTTTTGCTTCGAGTCCTTTCACCCCGATGGGCATTCACAGCATTCAGGAGCAGCGGGACTGCTGGGAGAGGAAGAGGAGCCGCACGGCCCGCGAGCTAGTCCAGAGTGAACAAAGCTACTGCAAACAGCTGGATCTAGTTGTCACGGTTAGTCTCTCAACAGGCCAAACATTACACAAACACCCATGGGCTGCATTGGTCGATCTTGTATCGAACAATATGCTGATGGAGAAACACTCGTTAGGGCTGGATTCAGTCATAGAAACAGAAAAATGTGTTTGGTGCGATGCGTTGATCATTAGAATATCCGAATTAAAGCAAATCTGAATTTCTAATTATCTTTGCTTTATATTTTGAACAGTTGTCTTCCGTTTATTGAGTGGTCCTTGACACCATCACAGGGCTATTCTTTTGAAATTCATGGTTTATAACCTGTTCAAGGCTTTTATTTCGCAGCTAATTAGTTTTACCTTTAAGATAGCTGAGATTTCAGTGTCATTTCTGTGCGTATTTTGTTGTGTATCAAAATAATTGGCATTTGAACGTGAAAAGCTATCATGGCGAACATCGGTCTCATTGTTTTTGAATACCGCAGCTAATTAAACGTTAAAACGCAACTTATTTTGAGAAACCACGTCACCTCCCGCCTCTGGTGAAGTTGTGTTAGACATGCGGCCCCTCTAATTGAGATGTCATTGGTGCAAAATGCTTAGCTCTTCACAGATTTGTTCTCGCTTTTTCTCAAGGGTGTGTGACGAGAGGTGACACTCTCGGTAAGATGAAGAGTCATGTACAAGTGGCGTCTGAAAATGTAATTTTCCTATCTCTTTCTTTTCTCCAGTACTTTGTGGAGATCTTGAAGGCCAAAGGAACCCTCAGGCAGGACATTAGAGAAAGCATCTTCAGTTCAATTAAATCCATTCATTTAATAAACCAGTAAGTATCCTTTAAATAATTAAGTGAATATTCGCGCTCGGGGGAGAGAGACGGCTGAGGGTGGCTGGCTTTGATACCGTTTAAAAAGGACGAGAGGGTAGGGGAGCATTAATTAGGGTCTAACAGGAGAATCAAGTTTGAGAACTTGGAGATTGCCTGGTGTGCCTTATCTTATGTTATTCTCTTTAATTGGATTGCGAATCGATGCGGATGCTGGATTTAGGCTTACAGCTGCACTTTCTCCAGAGTATTTTACGTTATCCCTCTACACTTACCATCATAGGAGATGGCGGCCTGTTCATAATGGCTGCTGTTTATGTCTTCCAAGCCTTTTGTGTTGATAAAAATAAGCTTTTTGCAATCGCTGATGTTTTTAAACATGCATTTTTAATGAAAGGGTTCATTATCATGCGTTCATTACTGATACTCACGGTCTTTCCACCTGAACTACTGTAGCAGATTCTCCAGTTATAGGCGTCAGGCTATTCAATACAAGGTTTAAAGTCAGCATGAAACACCATTCACAACCCATTTTACTTACGCAATCAGATTTTTGCTCTTTTGAGTAACACTCAATAGAAAAAAATAGTGCAGGGCCTGATTTTATTCAAGATCTTTGAGATGAGGAGGGTTGGAGGGGAATAGGGTTGTAATAATACCAAAATTTCGGTAGCTGTAATGCACTTTTTGTAAACTAGTAAACAGTCTGTATTTATCAGGAAATAAGTTTACACAATGATGTTCATTCTTTTTTAGGATCAATATCCATTGAATAATATTGACAACAAAGACAGCAGCAGGTCTGTTGAGCTGTATTTATATCTAAAATTTTTATACAAATCCTTTTTCTTTTTGTCTGACCTGTTTACATTCTCTTAAGCCAAAAAATAATCCACCAATAAATGCATTTGACCATGAACCAGTGTTGTTATTGTAAAACTTTTCAAAATTGTTTTTGGTAACTGAAAATAAAATATAAATATTAGATGAAAAAATTAAACTAGAAATGTTGCTTTGGTAAATAACTGAAATAAGTTAAAGTACTAAAATGACTAAAACGGAAATAAAAATGAGTTTACATTTATGTATCTGTCAGATGTTTTTATCCAAAGCGACTTGCATTGCATTTAATAAAAAATTACAAATGCATATAAAAAAAGGCCTAAAACTTATATAGATAACAGCTATAAATAAAAGCTCATTCAAACTAGCAATAAATACTACAAAAGTATATAAATAACGCTTAAATAACAGGCGTGCTTGCAGGGCATGGATGCATATACTTGAATTATTCTAAAATGTTTTTAATTTTATTAGCAACTTTGAACTGAAGTACTGGCACTTTTGACAAGGGCATGGGTTGGAAAAATGAGAGATATTTGTGATGTCAGCTGAAAAGAACGAATAAATCATTTCAGAGGTGTAGATGTATAGTCTACAATAATAGCAGGAATGTCAAAATAGAGTCCATTTTAATTCCATGATGACTTTAATAATGTCTGTTTTTTTTTTTTACCAGCGGTAGAGTGGTTATGGTAAGTCGCGAAACTCAGCTGTGACTCTTCTGCATACAGACGATTAGACACTCTGCTTGAGGGGCCTTTATGGCAGCTTGAGCAAATGAAAAGCCAGAGCCGCTGGAAACGAGGCGCAGAAGATGAAATAATACATTAGAAAAACTGGCCTGAAGAGCAGTCGGCATTGATCTGCCCATGCGGGCTGGGCAGACTAACAACAAATTAACTCACATGTGTCAAAAAGCCTGTTCTTGTTAATTTTATGTGAGGCTATCTATGGCACAGAGCTCTCGTGAATCGTTTTGTGTTTTGATGTACCACATCTGAAAGCAAAAGCAGAAGGCCTCTCTTAATGTCCAATAGCCTGCAAGCGAACATGCTTCCAGCCTTTTATCAAGACCTTCAAGCTTGCAATAGAGAGATCATTGCTCCTCAGTGCAGGTGAGCGGTGTTTGATATATTTAACAATCTGATCAATCTTAGAAGATTTGCCTGACAAGCACGGAGAGACATTTGCTAACAGGAAATACCTAGTGAGGAGATTTCATTAATACTGAATGGGCCGAAGTTCTCATTCGAGTTATTGCCGTGTGGTTTCGTTGTGTACATATTTCGAATTACCAAATGACTGGAAGGGAAACTACTGACTGCCTTTTGAGGGCTTTATCCAGGCCCTGTTGATTGAGAATCATAAAATTGTCTGAATAATGAATCACCGTGGGTCCCCAAGGCTCCCATCAATGCCTGATTGACGGGCCTCTCTACAAACAGTGGCTGAATGAAGATGGAGGGCTGAATTTCAGAGCCCGATGTATTGGATAAATCAGTGCTCGGTTACCATATATCATCATTAGAATCGGTTATTGAAGTGCCGGGTGAAGCCTAATGGCAGTCTCTCAATTTAGATCTGTGAACAGACAGCAGTGGCTGACTAATTAAAACGAATAAAGTGCTCGCATACTCCAAAACCACATCGTTATCAGGAAGCTTCTTCAGATGCATGTTGATATCTGTGCTGGCTGCTGAAGGTTATTTGAATCCTTAACTGAAATCATCACTTTTTATCTTGGACTAGTTGAAATGCAGAAAAACCGAGAACAAGGACGGGAGGTGAGCTGTAGATTGTTCTTATCATACACAATATGCACTTTATAGTAGGAAAAAATAGTATTAACGCATCTGAATTTATAAACCATTGTAGATTTTAACCTAAATTTTAAATGATTAGGCCAAAAATCATTTATTTATCTTCATGTCTTTCAAAACCTATTTGATTTTCTTTATTCTGTGAAATGAAAAAGAAGATATTTAGTAGGCTGTCCAAGCTGCTCTTTACCATACAATGAGAATGAATTGTGACCAATGTTGGGGAAAGTAACTTTTAAAAGTAATTCATTACAATATTGCTTTACACCATAAAAAAGTAACTAATTGCATTACTTTTACTTTTTATGGAAAGTAATGCATTGTTACTTTTGCATTACTTTTTGTCACCTGAGCTGAATAAAAAACTCTACTGTAATGGCCTTTTTCCACCAAAAGTGAAATTAAGTGCCTGAAGGAAGTGTCTCAACCTCTGCACCTCACTCCCAATGTCACTCAACACTGGGACAGGAGAGGTGTCTGTGAATAAATGGGAAAACAAAGTAACTTGCGTTATTTATTTGAAAAAGTAACTCAGATATTTTCTAGTAAATTTGAAAGTAATGCGTTACTTGGAAAAAAGTAATATGATTACATAACTCATATTACTTGTAATGCAGCTACCAATTTCATAGCAATATTTTTTGTAAATAATAACTTTTTGGACTCTTTTTCACACAAACTTGCATGTTCTATGGCATTAGAACCACTACTTTAATGGTGATTTTTGTTCTTTGTGGAGCTTGACTGCCCCTGGTCAGAGTAGCCTGAACATTTTTCAAAACTTCTCCTTTTGTGTTCCACAGAAGAAAGCAAGTCATGCATGTTTGGAGCAACATGAGGATGAGAATTTTAATTGATTTTATTTGTACATTTTATGCATTTGGCAGAATACAATTTTTATAATTTTTTTTATTTTAATTTTACATTTATACAGAATATAATTTAAAAGTTCTGATGTATAATTTCAAATTTTATTTTTCAATTTTTATTTTATACGGTCTTATGATTTTTTTAATATTTGGAGTGATTATACAAATATTTCCCAGTTTTCAATAAAAACCTTCAAAATGATGGCAGCCTCAAAGGTGACAGTAATGCGACAATATTCTTAGAAATATAAAAATATCTGTCAGCTACTATTTCAGTTTAAAAGAATATCATGCAGTTGGTTTGAAGATCATTCGTTGTACATCACATGATACTCTTGGGTCGGTAAAGACTTAAATACCGTATTCATTAAACGCTGCTGAACAAGCAAACAAACAAACAAAACTTGAATATATTGTCATGCCGCTGCCATTCATCAGAATTATGGCTGTTTATGTGATGAGGGGAGTAAGGCAATAGTGGGAAGAACCCAATTATCCTAGAACACACCAAATGCAACAGTGAACTTGAAAGGGCTGTCACTTAAGTAGCACAGAATCAAAAACGTATTTGAGAGATAAATATTCTGAGCGAGTGCGTCTAGGGGGTTTCTTAATGACAGTAAATGTGGTGTTGAAATAGATCAAATATTATCCGTGATGAAGGAAGAAGGTCCTTGTCACTATTGAAGGGAGGAGGGAGTCTCCCTACAAACCGAACAATGCTTTTGGATCCTGTACATATTTGTGTTTTTACGAGTGTTTGTGTTGCTGCTAACTATTCATTGACGATAATTAGTATTCCTTGGTTCTCGCTTCCCGCAAATGAAGCCACATAGAACTACATTGTTTGGTTGAGTCTGTGCCCAGCCCAGATGTCGCAACCACTAAGAATTAATGTAGATTAACGTGATGCAGGAGGAATGCTAATGTTATCTTTGTCATCTTCCTGACGGCCAGAGAATTTAATTGCCCTAAAAAATAGCATAAAAAATATAAGTCATAATTTCATATTTATCATAATAGCCTCTGGCTGTGAGGAGGAAAAAGGAAACACTATTTTTCCCGCCCTTTGCCCTCGTTAGAACTCTCTCGGCTGATCTAGCATCTCCTGATTACGAACAGAGGCTACCTTGGCTCGCAACTTCATTAAAATCTATTTAAATCAACTTCAACCGCAAAATGCTCCTTCTTCCAGCATGTAAAAAACACAAAGTCTCAGGGAACATCATTAGGGAGTGTGTGTGTGTGTGTGTTTCCATACCTGTATTTCTTTTTGGTCTAAGCGGTATGTATGCGCGATAGCTACCTTGCCTAGTTTGGATAATAAGCTCCTTCAGAAGTGTCAACACCCTCACCCTTGAATTATACCCATGTCACCCTAATGTGCCTGACAGCCAGAGCACCAGCTCTTCCATTCCTCTTGAACACCTTGTTTTGTTCCTGGTTTCGCAATGAGTGCGTTCCCGCTACAAAGCACCGCACACTTGCCCTTGGGCGCTAGCCTCAGCACCCTTGTCTCAAATAAGTATGTCACCCACAGGGAGGGGCACTTGGATGACACCACACAATTCTGACTAAAAACACTTCCTTTTGCAAATATGTCTGCCTCTGAACTAACCCCCCTCATTATTTGTGACAAGAAGTGCCTTGATTTCCAAAACAGTATCAGGGTTATCATTGCGTTTGGAGTGCGGTGGCAAGACTGCAGGGTAGGGTAACGTGAAAGTGTGCCCTGATATTTATTATAAGTAGTTAACTAATTGTTGATGATTTGACACAGTATGATGGTTCTTTGAAAGTATGATTTAATATATAATTGTGCATTTGCATGACAGGACAAATTAATTTAGACTAAAATGAATAAAAAATAATGAATTATAATATTAATTGTATTATTTAATGAATGAATGAATGCATTTTTTGGTAATTAATATACAATATTTGAATGTAAAAATGTTTTTCCAATTTTTATATATAAAAAATAATGAAAATAATTATAATATATATATTTGATATATATTTATAATATATATATATATATATATATATATACACACATACACATTTTTCAATAAAATATTGTGTATTACTACTAGTTACTGTCAAATGCATTATTTAATTGATTTATTAATGTGTGTGTTTTTGTATTTACCGGTATATAAAATTGAAAAGTATTTCTAAATAAAAAAATTTTTTAATATGTATTTATTACTTGCATATTTATCTATTTTTATTATTGAACTTATTTTAATTAAGTATAATGAATGGATTTATTAATTAATATAGAATATTTTAATTTAAAAATATTTATTTTTCCATATTATATATAATGTATATTTTATATAAATTGTTAAATATTTATTTTAATTTACAGTACATTTGAGGTATGATAAATTCAATGAAGTCTGATTAAATTACGCTGCATAAAGCAAATAATATTTTTACTTCTTGTTTTTAACAGGACCCTACTCACTCATCTAGAACTGGGGAGGTTTGGCGTCGGGTTTGAGGAGTTCTGCACTCATCTGCAGTTGTATAATACTTATGTTGACAACATTCAGACGGCTAAAAAAGCCCTCATGGTAAGTTGAAGTTAAATGTTTTACATGTTAAATTTGACCCCTTTTCACTTCTGACAACCGTACTTACAAGTGTGACTCTTTATGTTGTACGGTCTTGAGTAATGCCTGCGTGAACATAGCTGTAAATTAAAGTGAATATTATTAAATTTCACTGATTGTGTCACTTTCCATCTCTTTTGATTATGATTTGAAAGTTACTAAATCAAACGGTTGCTGGTATTGTTTTTTTCGTGAGTAAATGCCTTCTTTTACCTGGATGGAGGTCACCTACTTACACAAAAGCCGGTGGCTGCATCTGTCGATATTAAATCATGAATATGTATTTAATATAGATCTATGGTAATGTGCAGGATTGACAGTATGTCATGCTCTACTTCTAATTAGTCCAAACCTATTAAATCACTGTACAACTCCTCATCTATGGCACCTTTTTTCGCCCTACTACATTACTTGGCTCAGCCTTGTGGGGACAAAAAGAAGAGAAGACACAATGTCATTGTGTCACTTTCCATCTCTTTTGATTATGATTTGAAAGTTACTAAATCAAACGGTTGCTGGTATTGTTTTTTTTCGTGAGTAAATGCCTTCTTTTACCTGGATGGAGGTCACCTACTTACACAAAAGCCGGTGGCTGGATCTGTCGATATTAAATCATGAATATGTATTTAATATAGATCTATGGTAATGTGCAGGATTGACAGTATGTCATGCTCTACTTCTAATTAGTCCAAACCTATTAAATCACTGTACAACTCCTCATCTATGGCACCTTTTTTCGCCCTACCACATTACTTGGCTCAGCCTTGTGGGGACAAAAAGAAGAGAAGACACAATGTTGGGTCAGTAACTCAAAGATCGCCATTCAGAATGATTGACGTTTGGAACGGTGAAAAAAAATGGAGTCACCTACTCCATTAAGGCTTATGGATGACACTCTGTGCAAACAGATCTCTCCAGGCAAAGCCCAGCGGTACCATTAGGTCCAACACTACCATCTCATTACGCCTGACTTAAGTGGGCAGCCTCCATCAGTCGGCCGGAAAAAAAGTGAGATGGGGAGTCTCTCTTTGCTAATTAGCTCCTCCCTTGGCAAGGCACCTGTACCCAAGTGTACGGATGACTGATTCCTTGTTAGACCAAATCAGTTAGCGGTTAGAATCATCGGCATGCCTGGCTAATGCTAACTTCTGTGTTCTGTGTGCTTACGGTGAACTGAGGGGGCATTGTAACGTGTTTTGTGCTATGCCAGTAATTGTGTCTAATACTGAATATATGTTCGAGTGTTAGCCTCACAGCAAAGCTCTTCCAAGCTGCATGCTAACATCCGGTTTTATTTATCTGAGGGGAAGCCTGGAGCCTCACAGATATTAATGTCTTAATTAAGAGGAGGAATGCATCTGCGGCCAATTGACTGATTCTGATTCATCGACTGATTCATCGATTGCAGACTGAGCTGTTTAAGTTAGCAATTGATTCCTCCGCTTGGCCTACATGGCTGTAATTGCTGGAACATGGGCTGGTGTGTTCGCCATGTCACATGATTCAAAACATGGCTCGTTTGTCCTTCAAAATCCATCATCCCATGAAGCTGATTAAGAGGATGGCAATCTAGACCAAGATCTCAACGTTTTCCCAACCAGTTACTCTCTTTACATATTTTATACATGTTAATTTGACATTTTTAATTTGATTTTTAATAGAGACTTTTATAAATATATAATAATGTGACGCTTAAATCTGTTAAAATGTAGCTAGATAGTTTTGAATTATTTTAGGAATGCACAATATATCTATACCAGGGGTCGGCAACCTTTTGGGCATAAAGTGCCAGTTTTAATTTTTCTTGTTAATCTCTGTGCCAATGAGCCCCTCCCATTCCCCACCCCGTTTTTATGCTGTTTTTATACAATACAGAATCTTTTTTTTAAATGTTCAGATAAAAATCTTTTTTTATGTCCCACTTCAGGTCCTGAGAGATAGTGGTGCCCAGGAACCTGAATGACTCCACTGCTGTCACAGTGCTGTCCATAATGGTGAGTGGAGGGAGAACAGGGGGGTTTCTCCTGAAGTCCACTGTCATTGATCCTCACATAAGTCCCTGGTCTGTCTAGATGTTGCAGAACATAATGCAGATATTATCAGCAGATATAATATTATTATTATTTTTATTTATTTCGGTTATTGGCCAATATTGGATATTTAATTGTGCTCATTTACACTACATTTATATTAAGATCACTTTTGCTATCATCTAGTGCTTATTTAATAATATTTGTGTATAATATCCATTTTCTAAAAAAATATTTACATACACACACACAAATATATATATGATATTTATACAAAGTAATATAAAATTTTAAAATCAACCATTTATCTTTTTTTTTTTTGGCCGATATTAGAGGTTTGGTCATTTATTTATTTATTGGTTGTCACTCAACATTAGAGTTTTTATTATTTAATTTTTTTATCTGTTATCAGCCAAATTAGAATATTTAATTGTGCATGCTCATTTCTTTTATTTTTATATTTAGATGCTCACTTAAAGTTTAAAATGTATTTAAAGTTAATATCTGTGTAAAATGCGCTAATAATTTAACAGTTAAATGTACTCTTTAGCAAATATCAAAATGAATATCAATTTTTCATTTTATGCATTATAATGTTGTGATGCCTAAATTCACTTGTTGCATTTAAAGTTATGATTTTTAGTTTTAAGTGTTTTATTTTTATTGATTTTATTTATTTAAATTTATATAATATTATTATAATTTTAGTCGGTTATCGGCTATAACATGAACATTTTTATCAGCTTGTAGTTATGGGAAATAATTCTTATATTGGTGCATCCCTAGCTGATAAAGGAAATTATTTCATAGCAGGTTTTTGTTTTGTAGACATAGACGAGTGTTTGTGAAAAATGTATTACCTATTTTTATTATATATTTATACTTTATTTATCCATTTGATGATGGAAGGGGTGCATAAATGACACTTCACCTAAAGATATTTTGATTTTGTGCCGTTTAATGGACTCCTCGACCACTTATTGCAATTGACGTGCAAAGTTTTCTTCAAATCTCATTAAATGTCAGAGTACCTCAGCCATTGAATTTTCAAGTAAAAGAGATGGATTGGTCAGCGGATGTTTTTTGTGTATTTAAAGTTTAAACCATCTGCTTTGTTGAAGAGATTACGGGATCGACAGCATCAACAGGATGGCAGCATTGAACTGCAGTCAGTTCTTGATGGGAATGTAAAACATTTTGGTTATGCATCAGTATCTTCTGACACAGGCCAGGCTACTTCACAGTCTTCTGCTCAGCTGTCAAATCACTCTACAACTTCACATTTTGTTGATCGCACTACGTGGATTTACTTTAAAGAGGGATTTTTGGGAATCATTTGATGGCATGATTACAGAAAGCTGTCACCACTGGGTTATGGTTTTCATGCTTGAATTCTCCATCCGTATTTCTGTGCTTTGGAGGAGTCAGTGCACGGCGTGTATCGAGCCTCTCAATGACAGACGTAATTATTGTTTGATGTTGTGCTCACACCTGCCTTCAGACTGTCCAAGAACTGTCAAAATCCCTTTTGTTAAGCCGACGTTTTTCTTGGCTGTAATTTCATGCGGTCGTGGTCTCAGCCGTTAATTAGTGTTACAGGGTGCGAAATGAACTAGAACATGCTTAAGAACCAGCGTAAATTACATGCATCCCTTTATCAAGCTGTTCGAGTCCCATCTTAATTAGGCTTTTATGTCACTCCTTCTTATTAAATGTAGTTTCCAACATGAAAGAAGACAAACACAATGTCATTCTAGCTATGACGATAATTATGTCTTTATATTTATTCTTTATAAGAACATTCCTCAGCTAGCACCCACCTGTCATGGTTTTCATTCAGTGGCTTCATCATATGCAAAATGACAATCCTGTTTGTTTACAGGCCCTCTTTATGTGTCTTTGTGCATCCATTTTAGGTGATTTGATCATGATTTTACTCCCGGTTTTAGCATGAGTGTCGTTTGACCACTAGAGATTTAATTTTATTATCTTTCATGACTACACATCACTTACTTTGTCAGTGTGTCGCTGTGTAAAGCACAAAAAGTAAACCAAAATAGATGTGAAACATTATCATTTTTATATCTGTCTGTCTGTCTGTCTGTCTGTCTGTCTAAGCAAGGATGCACTAAATTGGTCAAAACTGAAAGTAAAGACATTTATAATGTTGCAAAAGATTTTTTTTAAATTTCAAATAAATATTGTTCTTTTGAGCTTTCTATTTATCAAAGAATGCTGAAAAAATATATCATGGTTTCCAAAAAAATATTAAGCAGCACGACGTGCACCAAATTTTGTGCACCAAATTAGCATATGTGACCACAAAACCAGTCATAAGGGTCAATTTTTTGAAATTTAGATTTATACATCATCTGAAAGCTGAATAAGCTTTCCATTGATGTATAGTTTGTTAGGATAGGACAATACTTGGCCGAGATACAACTATTTGAAAATCTGGAATCTGAGGGTGCAAAGAAAATCAAAATACTGAGAAAATCGCCTTTAAAGTTCTTAGCAATGCATATTACTAATCAAAAATTAAGTTTTGATATATTTACAGTAGGAAATTTACAAAATATCTTCATGGAACATGATCTTTACTTAATATCCTAATGATTTTTGGCATAAAAGAAAAATCGATAATTTTGACCTATACAATGTTTTTTTTGCTATTGCTAGAAATATACCCCAGCGACTTAAGACTGGTTTTGTGGTCCAGGGTTACATTTAAAATGTTTTCTGAAATAATGGCTACTGATAATTCAGCTCTGTCCTCACAGGAATAAATAAAAACATTTAAATAGGAAACAGTTATTTTAAATTGTAATTATATTTCATATTACTATTTTTACTGTATTTTTGATCAAATAAAGGCAGCCTTGGTGACCATAAGTGACTTCTTTCAAAAATTAATCAAATCTTATTGACCCCAAACTTTTG